CCCCCGGTGCCCCCCCCCCCCGCCCTCCCCCAACTGGAAGCTGCATTTCCTGGCCAGAGTCATTTCGCGGACGGCATCATCAGTCCCATGGGCTCTCAGCAATCTGTAAGGCCCTCCCTCTCCACGAGCAACAGTGGAGAACCTTCTAGAAGAAGCTGGGTACGAAGCAGGTGAGATGGGCAGATCCGTGCCAGTTCACCCTGCCCCACCAAAACCTCCTCTCCGTGAGGTAAGAGGCGTGCGTTAGCTATGTCTGCCCTTGGAGCGGGCAGCCACACGGGAAAGGTCATGAACTCATAAACTCACTCTCCGAGGCTTCTCGGCTTGCAGGGCCTGTTGCACGATAGTAGGAAGCCATTTTTAGATGCAGCTGCTCCGGAGTCTCCCTGCGATGCCGGCTTCCTCCTCCAGCTGCACCCCTCCCGTGCACTCCAGAACGCTTCCACTGTCCATCCCGCAGTGACAGCATGAGCGGAAGATGCCAGGGCGTGTGGAATCACTTCCAGAATTACCTGATTTGTTTGAACAGCTGTTTATAGAGTCTGTCACAGAGAGATGGCTTTTGAAGGAAGATGAGATTCTTCTGTTCATATCTACGAGGTATTTCGTTTATTTAGACTGCCTTAGCTACCAGTAGGTCCCTTTTTGAAATATTTAGTCCCCAAAATCTAGATGGGCTCAAGAAGTTTTATTGCCCCTCTTGAATATCCTGAAGGATCCCAATAAGGTTTTCCAGGCCAAAAATATAGCCAGGATCTGGTCCGTCGTAGGTGGTGTGCTCGTTCCAGGAGCCCTTGTACGTGGTGTGAGCGAAGTCGATCATCCGGATGTCGACTTTGGCAAGACCCCTGGCAGAGCTGTCCTGGGCCGTCTTTGGAGCTTCCTGGGCACGCAGGCCGTCTGGGGTTCTCTCCTGCAGGTCCTGCCCGTCGTAGATGATGAGGAGAGAGCTGGAGTAGAAGCGGTAGGAACTCTGGCTCTTAATGACTGAGAGGAGGGCCCGGAGCTGGTGCAGGATGGGCTCCAGGAGCTCTGTCCGGAGGCGGGTCCCGTCGTGCAGGAACTGGTAGAGCGTTTGTCTGAACCCCTCCACCGAGAGCTTTCTTCCATAGTACTTGTCTTTGCAGAGAAAGTGCTTCTTGTCAGTCTGATAAACCTTACATTAAAAAGAAGAGAGAGAGAATGTGAAGAATGGCAAACTTTAAAAAAAATGGTCTCTCCCGCGGTTGCAGTGAGGTTGCAGCTAACACGATATATGAACGAGCTTCTAGGAGATGCGGGACAAGCATGGCTGGAGAGTAGAGGCGATCCTCCATCAAGCACCAGTCGAGTTTACATTTTAAAATACTTTCTGTGGGGGAACCAGCAGTTAGTGTAATGGCTATGTCACTGGATTCCCACGTAGTTGACCGCAGTTCGAATCCCGGACCCGGTGGCTTAAAACTCACGCCGGGCGCGTGTGCGTGCGTGCCCAAGATCCCGAGAAGAGAATGGAGGAGAAGGGATTGCGGCGTGGCCATCCCCCTTGGGGGGTGATTTCTCGCTTTCTGTCTCTATGTCTCTCTCTGTCTGGTGAGCGCACGTGTCCTATAGCGAGAAAACCTCTAAAAAAAAAAAAAAAGAAAGAAAGAAAGAAAGAAAGAAAATACTTTCCATGCATGTCTTTGATAGTCATCTGAGGTCTAGGGATCCTTCACCCTATAGAGGTGACCCTCCGCCTATGAGGAAAACGTCTGGATCTCCTTTCTTGTGAATTTCCAACGTCAGCCTCCACATCGTGATTTAAGCCCTGGCTCCCAGCCCTCTTCAATTCAAATATTAGCAAACTCAAGCTAGAGAGCTTTAGTAGGAATCTGAAATCACAGCCAATGGCCTTGGGAAGCCAACTAGATTAAATTTTCCCCCACAAAGTTTATAAAGTCCTTTCTCTGCAGATTCTAAGGGAACAGTAATGACTCTCAAGGTGGAGTGGGATGGATTGTTGGAAGATAAATGGACAGGCTAGGTCAGGTGTGCACACAATTGTTAGGCAGCCCATGCAGCTGAGCGGAGCCCGGGTGGAGGAGGGAGGTTCGTAGCCACTCCAAGGGGCTGGTGGCTCCTCTCCTTGGCACCATCTCTCCTTCCCTCCCCTGTCATGTCTTGGCCACCAGAAGGGGACAGATGGAAGAGAGAACTGATGGGGGACAGTGGCAGTCACCTCCATTTTATTCAGATGCCACGCACAGCCATGGAGGCCGAACGGAGGCCAGGGGCTGGCACGGCTGGAGGGGGACTTGGCACACCTCTGCCTGGCACACCTGTTTTTTAGCCACTCCAAGGGGCTGGTGGCTCCTCTCCTTGGCACCATCTCTCCTTCCCTCCCCTGTCATGTCTTGGCCACCAGAAGGGGACAGATGGAAGAGAGAACTGATGGGGGACAGTGGCAGTCACCTCCATTTTATTCAGATGCCACGCACAGCCATGGAGGCCGAACGGAGGCCAGGGGCTGGCACGGCTGGAGGGGGACTTGGCACACCTCTGCCTGGCACACCTGGATGGGGTGCCTGAACCTGGCCAGGATAGAGTCAAAGGCCTTTCCTGCCTTCAGATGACATGATATGTCAGAGAACCAGGGATGAAAAGAATCAGAGAGCTTTGATAGACTCGGTGTCGCCTCTGCTGCAGTGGGGACCGGTTGCTAAATTAGCTGTCATAAATACATGGCGGGCGTCACTTTCTAAAGCAATCCGCTCAACTTCAGAAGGGTTGAGGTCCAGAGAGAGATTCCATTTACACCACAAATCATCACACGCCACCCTCTCGAGGACTGCATCCCAAGCCTTCCGAGGGACAGCTGCGCAACAAATTTATAGACTCCACTCCCAGCTTCCAGGGGTGGCAGTTTCAATTAAGGAAAGCGATAACGTTCACCGTCAAACCGGTGTCTGGCTTGGCTTCGAGTAGACAGACTGTGAGTGTGAGCGAGGGGAGAAAGTCGATCTCCTCCTGCAGCCCCTGGCGTAAGCCGCATCAGAATGGCACAGTGCAGAGTGGAGAATGGGCAGCGAGAACATGAGCCATTCCTTCGCCTGGGTTTAGCAGGGTCTGACCTTCCCACATGGTTAACCAGGACAGGTAGCAAAAGGAAGCAGAAAAGGTGGATTCAGAAGAGGGAAGGCTAGTAAGAGTTCAAAGAGCCCAGTGCTGCGCGGCGTCCGAGGATTCAGCGTTCTCGTTCAAGAGAGCGTGCGTCGGGAAGCCGCCGAGTGCTCCGAGAAGCTCTTCCTCTCAGTTCTTCCCCAGCCCCTGCTCACACACTGTCATCAAAGGTCTGCTCTCAACATGGGCTGGACCCACGTGGCCACTGTGGAAAGTTTCAGCTGCCAAAGACTGCAAGGCTGATTTTTAATGGTGGGGTTTTGACTCCACTCTCCTGGAGGGTGCTTTATTTCTTTTCTTTTCTTTTCTTTTTTTGAGAGGTTTTTGCTATAGGGCGTGTGCTCTTGCCAGAGGAACAGAAAGCAAGACATCACCCCACCCCACCCCCCCAGGGGGAATGGCCACGCTGCAATCCCTTCTCCTCCATTCTCCTCTTGGGATCTTGGGCACGCACGCACACACACCCTGTATGAGTTTAAGCCACTGGTCGGGGACTCAAACTGCGGTCAACTACATGGAAGTCCAGTGACATAGCCATTACGCCAACTGCTGGTCCTAAAAGGTGTTCTTAAAAAAAGGGAGGGTGGCAGGTGGCATAGTGGTTAAGGGCGCTGGATTCCCACATGGCTGACTGCAGTTTGAATCCTGGACCTGACAGCTTGCTTTCTCATTTTCCCTCTCTCTCTTTTTCTCTCACTCTGTCCCTCTCTGGTCAGATTAAAATGAATTAATAAATAAAAGTTAAATAAAATAACGCTTTAAAAAAGAAAACCACAGAGCATGTCATAGACTGGGATATGCATTTCCTTATTGAAAGAGTCTCCTCCTCCGTTGCTCTCCGGAAGTGGAGGACTCTGCAGGGGGTAGGGAGAGGAGCCACCCTTGCCCAGCAGTGGCCGTGCCGGGGTGCTGACCCTGCAGCGGCCTACCTGCATGCCGCAGATGCGCACGCCCAGGCAGGCCGAGGTGCTCTGTGCACACTTCCTCACGTGGCGGGCCTTCTTCTCCTCGGAAGCATCGTCCCCGTGCTGCCGGGTCCCCATCTTCAAGTCCAGGATGCAGGGATGCCTGTACTGTGACACGACATTTTCCAGCAACAGGAACTCTTAGTCCTAAGTTAAGGAAGGCTCCGAGGGCCTCAGGGCTTCGGCTGAGAGGGTCGGGAAGCTGCCTGGCCATTTCTTAGCTGGGCGTCATTTCTTCACTCCCACTCCCTTCCACGTAGCCCATCCTCGCTGTTAAGAATTCAAGGTATTCGCTTTGCAGGCTGCTTTAACAAGTCCATTTATTTAGGGGGAGTTTATGCGTATGTGAGCTTTTCTCCTTTTCCATTTTGCTCTGAGGTTGAAATTTACATGCAGGCGTGAAATCCCTGGCAGGGCATGCCCAATTTACATTTCACGGCAGAGAATCATAAGGCTAAAACCTCCAGTCACTGAATGGGCCAGCACCTTCTGGGAGAAGTGGGTTGATGTCAGCCTCGGAGATGAGTTGCAGGAATATTAATTCCGGCGGAGTAATTATCCTGCAAAAGCTTCTTAGGGATTAGGGTTGCAGATGTGTCTTAGTAAATACTGCGAATCCAGCCACCCATTTGCAGGCTGGGGCCCAGTGATGACGACGGGGCATTGCAGACCCCGGTTTGCTCCGTGAGAACGCGGCGGCTGTCGGGGAGGGGTCTGCCTCTGCTCAGAGCCCACACACAGGCACTTTCCTAAGGGAAGGCCCACGCTGCCTGCCTACCCCAGGAGCCCCAGGAGAACACGTCTGCAGGGGGAATTGGGAGGGATGAGGGGAGGCTGGGGCAGGGCGCCATCCGGCTCTCCGAGCCCCCCTCGCTGCACCCATCCGGCCTGGAATTAATCCTCCCTGTCTCCTCACAGAGATCCCCACCCATCGGATCTTGCGGCCCAGGTGGCAGAGACGTGGCCAGCGGCCCTCCCTGGAGCGTGGTGCCCCTACATTCCTCGTCTGGCTTCTCTTTTGGAGGGATCTGGTTTCTTCCGGGTCCCTGGTTTGAGGACTTGTGCCTTCACAAACTATCCCTCACGCCCGTTTCTCTCTCCCCGGCCTCCCTGTGTGTGCATCTCACCCTCCCGCCCCTGCCCCGAAAGTCTCTCTGACTCTCTGTCCCGCTCTCCTCCCGTCAGCCCCCCACCCTTCTGCCCTGTGCCCTCCTGCCCGGGGGTCGGAGTGCGGTGCGGTGGGGAGGGCGGGCAAGGATACGGTGCAGCTGGTTCTCGGGGTACTCCGAGCACAGGCGGCTCAGGTGGGCCTGGTGGCAGTGCAGGCCCCACGGGTTAAAGCTCCTCCTCTCCACCTGGTTCCCGTTAGCGTCTTCCAGCAGAGAGGAGACCGGGGCGCTGAGGTGGAACTCGGACCTGAGGAGCACCTTGGCTGCGCTGTGGGGAGGAAAGCAGTGGTCAGGGTGGCCGTGGGGGAGGGGCCTGTGACCCGGGGCTCGCTGGGACGGGCTGTGGCCAGAGCTGTCCTCACTGCTCTCCACCGTTCTCTTCCCGGCTGCCCAAGGTGTGGCGGCCCTGGAGCGCCCTCTCTGCCCACCTTGGGTCCCTGGCACCAGGTTGCGCCATGCAAAAGCCCTTTCCAAACCCCAGAATAAGTTCTTAGGGCATGCCACCCCCTCGGAGGGCGGTGCTGATTTAAACGCACATGGGAGCGATCGGGGTCATTTATGATCTTACTGTCGAGGGGACACAATATGGGGGCAGTGACCCCACGTGGATCACAGGCTCGGGGCTTAGGCTCTGGTCCTCTGGCCTGTCCCCGTCTCCCTGAGACCCCCACAGGGCCTCGCCCACCCTGGCCCTGCCAGCCTGGCTGCGTCTCGGCTTCCCCATCTGAGATGGAGATCAGGTGTCCACCCCTGACCCCGTGCCTGGATCCCAGTCAGACCCGCTGCTCGAGAGGGAGGGGAGGCATGCTCATTGTATGGCTCCTGCTTGTTTCTCATAAATGGCCTAAAAATCCCCAGGGACCCTTTCATCTGAGAAAGGTCACCTCCCTCGGCAGAGGTCTTGGCGACTTCTTCAAGGACCTCAGGCGTCCCGGCCTCCTGCGTCTCCGGGGACCCGCTGAGTCCTGTGTTGACCTCTCCCTGTCCCACCCCAGAGGCTAAGGAAAGGTGATTTCTGAGAGCAATTAGGCATGCTTTTCCTTTATATAAGCCATCGAGGGCTTCTGCGCTGCACACTCTCCCCGGCCCCAGAGACCATGGTCTCGGCAAAGCAGGTCTTTAATTAAACACATATGTGCCGAATACCCACTCTGTGTAGAACCCTGCCGGGCCTCACCTTCTGAGATAAAATGCATCGTAATCCCCCCTCTAGAAGGGACATAAAAGAAAATGCATGTTTCCTTTGGCTGCGTGGTTATTCTAGACAGATCTTCCTCTGAATTTCTCATTTTTCTTGGCGCCAGCCCTAACGGGGAGCGGGCGGCCTTGGGCCCCGGTGAGAGCGGCGCTGGCCCCGCTGAGGGACAAGCGGCCGGGCGTCTGTCGTCCGTGCAGCGCCTCACCTCTCCTGGAGCGAGTGTGCCAGGTGGGCACGCTGCCGCTCGGCCAGGGGGCAGGCCCCGCCGCTGCTGCCAGACGTCTGCTGCAGTGTCTGCCAGATCGCCACCGCCGCCGACTCCGCAGGGACCTTGAGGAGCCGCCGGTCCTCCTTCAGTGGGCTGGCAACCAGGCTGACCTGGCCTCTGCTGTCTTTCTGGAGGTGCACCGTGATGGTACCTGCAGGACACAGAGGGGGGCATGGAGCGTGGCTCTGGGTGGACGCGGCCGAGGGCTGTGGCGCTGGGACTGCCGCTGAATGTCGCTGGTCAGCCTCCCCCTTCCCTCCTCTTCTCCCTGAGGGGGACTGCGGGGACTGGCCTGCTTCCAGAAAGCGCCCAGAGCACGGGACCTGCAGAAGACAGCCATGGGCTGGCCTGGGCGCAGCTCTGCTTCCTCCGCTTCTAGGCCCGTCGTGTTCCCAGCGCAGCCAGCCCTGTGCATTTCATTCTCGCATCCAGTTCCGCTCTACCCGGTCCCCGCTCCCCGGTCACTCCACCACCAGCCCAGCTGTGCCTGTGCGGGGGCATCGGAGCTGGTCCTCTGCGAAGGGGCCTCCCTGACTCGGGGGGTGATAAGGGATATTGGGGCCTCGCCTGTCTCTCCACCTCACACTCAGCCTCCTCCATCATGCACGGTCTCCCCTCCGCTTATCTGTGTCTGGCCAGCTGCTTCCAGATGCCTTCTGGGACTCAGGGCTCTCCCTCGCCCGTCTCCTCCGCGTCCCTGCCTTTCACACTGGGGCTGGGCTGTTTCTATGCTCAGAGGTTTTGGCACAGGGCGGGTATCGGTGGGACCGTGGGTCTTTGCTGAGACGGGAGACTTGTGAGGGTTCCCGTTATGGAACCTCCTGCCCTCCACTTTGTAATCCAGGCAGGACCCCGCCAATGTGAAGGTGACAAGCACCAGAAACCCACTGAGCGCACATGCTGATGGCCGCTCTCCTCCGAGACGCTGGCCGGGCCAGTCAGGAGCTGTGGCGGGCACAGGAGTGGCTCTGCGGTCACCCTTTAGATCCTTGCTAAGACTATGGAGCCCAAGGCTCCGTGATGCTTGGCATCCAGCGCCCCGCTTCGCGAGGTACCTGGTAGGGCCCTGGGAGACGGCTTTGCGGCTGTTTTTCTTTTTAAAGTTTATGTCTCCCTTAAATGACAGAGACAGAGATGGGACCCCAGCAGGGGGCTGGCGCTGTACTCAGCCCCACCCGGGTCGTGGGCAAGCGTGTGCCTGGCACACTCGGGGACATCTCAGGACTCAAACCATCGCCCCGCAGAGCGTCAGGCTTGATGCCGCACCACCAACTGCCCCGCACAGGCGGGTCTGTGAGGACGGGATGTGGAAGACGCTTGTTGTCCTGTTCCCGCAGCTCTGCCTGAGTCCTCTCTGACCGCCCCTCCCCGACAAGTCCACTCTCTAGCCCTCTGCCCTTGTCGCGCCCGAGGGGCTGACCCTGAGCAGTGGCCCAGTGGCTTCCTGGCCTCTCGGTTCCCGGCGGGGGCACCGGCAGGAGCTAGGAGGAGGGAGGAGGAGGACTGGTGTGTCTGTTCCCTGGCCCCATCCCTGCCTCACTATGGGCTGCTGTGTCCTCTGTGGCCTCCACTCTTGCTGGGTCAGGGACCCCACTGCCTCACGTCAGCCCTTCGGGCCTGGGGTGGTGACAGCTTTTTAGTGTTGCGCGCCCCCAATCCCTGGTGGTTCTCTAAATCCTGCATGCACTTCCGCATATAGTCTCTTTAAAAAGTTCTCTTCAGGCTGGCCCTGGGCACTGGTAGTTAAGGGAGTTGGATCCCACATGGCCGACCACAGTTCAAATCCCACCCCTGGTGGTTTGAAAAACACGCTGGGTATATATATATATGCATGCTTGCCCAAATTCCAACAGGATGAAGAAAGGAGGAGGGGATTGTGGCATGGCCGTTCCCCATCGGAGGGTGCTCTCGCCCTCTCCCTCTTCCTCTGTCTCTGTGTCTCTGTAGTAAGTACATGTGCTCTCTAATAATTTTTTTAAAAAGTTCTTTTCATTTAAATCCCTTTGTACTGTTTGTTTTCTAGTGGGATCCCGACTGAGAGAGGGTGGGCTGCATGTCCGTTCCTCCTCCAAGGTTGGAATTCCCTCCCCAGCCACTTGGTCGCCTTCTCTGAGCAAGTGGTCACTCCCACTGAGCAGCCATTTCTCTGCTCGCCCCCGCCCGGCCCCGCTGGGCTGTCCACACAGACACCCGACCCGTTTTCAGGGCTGCACCTTAATTCTGCAAGGTGCCCTTCAGGGCCGTCCGTGCCCGGCTCAGCGGTCTCCCTGGGCTGGTCCTGTCATCTCGGATTCCCAGTGCCCTAATTTTGCAGCCTGAGAGTGACACCCAGTTCCTGCCAGCTCCTCAAAGTCTCCTCCTGTCCTCACCCCAGGTTCCTCTGTCTGTGAAGTGACCACGATGGGACGATGACACGGTACCTAGACCTGGCCTCCGTGCCGTCCGACACCAGCATTCATACCTGGGCCAGGCCCACCTGGCAGTTCTGTTTAGGAAAGCCAGGGACCACGGCAGGCTGGAAAAATGGCCCTTCCTGAGGGGGAGGGGGAAGCTGTCCTGGCGCTTTATCTGCTACCGTCTTTTTTTTTTTTTTTTTCTTTTTTAAGACAGAGATTTTTGTTATAGGGTGCATTGCTCACTGGAGAGACAGAGACAGAGAGACAGAAAGCGAGAAATCACTCCCCTGAGGGGGTTATGGCCACACTGCAATCCCTTCTCCTCCATTCTCCTCTCAGGATTTTGGGCATGCACACACACGTGCCCAGCATGAGTTTTAAACCACCGAGTCTGGGACTCGAACCGCTGTCAACTACATGGGAGTCCAGTGATGTAACCATTAAGCCATCCACTGGCCCCTTCATTTGCCACCTCTAAGTTACAACAGCCTGCAGGTGTTGGTGGTGGACCTCGAGCTCGGGAAGATCGAATACCCAGCCCTCCATCACGTGGTCGGCACAGAGGGCCAGAGCCCTGAGGAGGTGGCCCCGGACTCGGGCACAGATGAAGGGACAAGCGTTATGCAGAGCCGAGGGCTTATGGAGGGTCTGGTGCTGTCACACTCTGTTTGCGTCCCGCGCGTGCAGGGGGACTCCTGTGTGTCCCAGTCACACCTATTCTGGTCATTCTGTCCCGGGGGAACAGAAGTGATGATCCCCCACCTCAGGAGGGGTCGTCAGCACAGAGGGCCGGGCACCATAAGCTCTAGGACACGGGGTCTGTGGGTCTGGTCCTGTCCTTGTGGAAAAGGCATCGCTGTGCTTGCTGCTGGAGGAGGCCTGCCCTGGAGACACGCACCAGGCTCTCAGCCAGTCCCTCCGCAGGTGAAAAGGGGACAGTGCTGCCAGCCTCACTCACGTCCTTGCAGCCCCGGGAGGCCCGACCGCTGCCTGGGAAGGAGTGCCAGCCGCGGACAGGGCCCTTCAGGTCTTGTCAAGGTAAGCTATCACCAGCAGACCTCTGGCCTTTTCCACGGTGCGGCTAGAGTGGCAGGCCTGCTAGAGACCACGTCCTGCAGAGCCCTGGGCCCAGGAGGCCGCCTGCAGGGACGGGAAACGTGACCTTGACCTGCTTCTCCAGGTTCCAGCTCCCGTCTGAGCTCATCTGTCCCGAGCGTCTGAGTACATGGAGGAGAGCAGAGGTGCAAATAACCCAAGACCAATAAAATCTAAAAGTCATTTCTATTTCTCATAGTGTCAGAGCGACACTGCCAGGCTCCGCATCCCTGCCCTCCCGCTCTGTCTTCCTGCCAGCCTCTGACGGGCTCTGAGTCTTCTCTATCTCATCTGTCTCTCCCTGCCTCTCTCACGCACACCCCTGAGGCTCGGCTGGGCCTTCCCTCTGCCGCCTGGGACCCGCTGGGTGGGATCACGGCAGAGCGCCCCCTGCAGACCATCCCGGCCTGCCTGCCCTGGCAGAGCAGCAGGCCAGCGGCATCCGGGCTGTCTCCCTGGTACTCGGGGTGGTCTTTTTATGAAGGGCCTTGTTGACCCCAGCCTGGCCTCCAGCTTGCTCTGGGCATCCAGGGGATTGGACCTTGGAGGCCCAGGGCTCCCGGGCTCTGCTGCCACTGCCTGACCAGTGGGGTGCAAGCCCCTCCAGGGGCCCTCCCCTGCACCGCGACCCGAGACCAGGCCGGCTGGGCAGGAGAGTGCTTGCCGCACCACTGGCATGCCCGGGGCCTCTCAGCAATTTTTGTTTGGCCCAGCAGCTTGCAGAACCTCGGTGAATATTCCGTCACGTATTTATTTTTAAGCTTCTGAGAGCATTTACTCACAGCCGTCTGTAATACGAACCTGGCCCAACTGCTAACCTGCTGGACCTAAGGCTGTGTCCTCGTTTGCCCAGAGCCGTCAGGAGATGGGGGGGGCAGAGAGGAGTGCAGCCCCGTGGGGTGCAGCCCCACCATGCCGTCATGCCGGGGGCCAGCACAGGTCTGGGGCAAGTTCCTGGCACAGGGAGGCCCCCCACTGGAATGGCGTCCTGCCCACCGTCTCCCTGCCACCACCCTGGTGTGGGGGGTAGGATGGGGTGCTCTGTGGCCTGTGGTGGCCACGTCTGAAATGGGCCCTTCCTCTGGAGAAAAAGGGAGGGCCCAGTGGGAGCCTGTGGGCATTCGAGTCCCCAACCTGAGCCAGTAGCTGAGTGGCCCTCGGCAAGTCACATCCCCCCGACACTGATGGCTGTCCATCCTTTCAGGAGTGGTGTAGCTGGGCGGAGTGGGCCCGTGTGGCCGAGAGCCCACACTCGGGAGCTAGACCTTGGGGCTTCGAGTCCTGGCTCTGCCTCTCGCCGGCTGTGTGGCCTCAGGCAAGCCGGTGTGCCCCGGTACTCCCGTCCATGGCAGGGATGATGAAGGTACCTACTCGGGCCCAGGGCATGGCGGTTAAGGTGGCTGGATCCCACACACCCAACCGTGCCGGTCCAGTCCCGGACCAAGCAGCTTGAAAAACATGCCAGCAGGTGTATGCGACATGTACCCCAAATCCTAAGAGGAGGGAGAAATTGAGAAGGGATTGCGGCAGGATACCCCACTGGGGCTTGCTCCTGCGATCCCCACCCATTGTCGCTCTCTGGCGAGCACACGTGCCCTCTGGTACAACAGTTAACCAGGAAGGTGCCTACTCAGAGGGCTATGAGGCTGGGAGTCAGTGCACGGAACCGCTGGCAGCCGTGTCGCCAGGCCCAGACGGGCGGCCGTGCAGCCTGCGAGCCCTTCCTGGGGCCCTTCCCATGACAGCATGACGTGGGTCCCTGTCCTGCTGCCTCTGCCCCAGGCGTGTGGGACGTGAGCATCCCAGCTGGGTTTTCCTAGGCCTCCTACGTGTGCATTTCCTTACTTGGGGCGTGGACAGAGGCCCTGTGTATATTGCGTTCTGGTCGCTGAGTGAATCAGTGTTTCTGCTTCATCATAACCTCATGTTGTCCCAGCCATGGTGGTGCCTGTCACTAAGACACGGTGCTCGGCAGGCTGGGCCCACATGGGAGGCTGATTCAGCTCCTGGCCTGACACAAGGGCCCAGCGCAGCAGTGCGCACTGTAATCCCAGTGACCGGAGGCCGAGGTAGGAGGGCGCTCACTCGAGTTGTCTGGGCAACTTAGCGAGGCCCTGTCTGAAAGGGCTGGCATGGGGACGGCGTGGGATGCACACCTGTCATCCTGGCTGGGGGCTGAGACAGGAGGGGCGTGACATAGCAAGACCCTATCTTAAAAAACAAAACGAAACAGCTGAAGTTTGGGCGTCCCCCCAGCCCATAGGCGGCAAAGGTGGTCAGTTGCGGGGTGTCATTCAAAGGCATCGTGAGGCCTCATGGGCCAAGCCTGTCCCCACTTATTTGGAAGCACTCCTCTGTAGAGCCCGGGGCAGATGCCGAAGCACCACCCGTGGCTGCTGAACACTTAGACGTGACGCTGGCTCAATGTACTGAGCGAGCCAGGCCTCTGGGGTGGTGTGAGGGTGGGCCCGGTCTGAAGGATCGCAGGGCAGAGGGGAGGTCTGGGCAGTAGACCAGGGCCTGAGGGCAGCCCAGAGGGTGCCCGCCCCCGCCCAGGGCACGGCCGTGTGTGAGGAGGCAGGGCAGGGAACCAGGATGGGGTCTCCCGGAGACCAGACCGGCCTCGCTCTCTGTCCTGTGTTCCCTGCGGCTGCCCCGGCAGTCCGTCTCAGCTCCAGAGCTGTGTCAAACAAGCGCGAAATGCTGTTGGCAGGAGGCCGCCCCACACGAGGTCCTGCCACCCCTTCGCCTGGTTGAATTCGGCTGCGAGAGGACAGACATTAATTCCAGTGGGTGCCCTGACAAGAAGGGCAGTGACCATGACCAGCCAGGCAACACCAGGCTGTGGCCCCACATCACATACTGAGACCCCAGGGGAGGTTGGGCCCGGGAGGGGAGCCTGCATGGGTGGCCATGGGCTGCCTCCCCTGTGTGCCCGTGTGAGGCTGATCAGCCTTGTCGCAGACCCGCAGGAGGTCCTGCAGGCCACGCAGAAGCCCGGGCATGTGTGAAACTGCGTTTGGAAGCAGTGCCCAGGGCTCGAGACCCTGGTCACCCCCAGTCACCAGTGATCCTCAGTCTGAGCCAGGCTAAATCCAAGTTGCTGTACCCCGACCCCAGGATCCTGGGGATTCTGACCCCCCAAGTCTGGAACGGGGCCTGGGAACCTGCAGATACACACATGGTCCTGGTAAGGTTGGTTGAGTCCCGGGTCACACCAAGGCAGATGGCCACCTCCTCCCTGGTTTGTTTCGGTTTTGGTTTTTTTTTTTTTTTTTCCTGGTATGACAGAGTGTATGTATGCACGAGAGAGACCAGTCTTCCACAGGGTCCAGTCACACCACAATCCCCTTCCTCTGGTTCTCCGGCCCATCAGATCTTGGGCGCTTGTGTGCATGCCTGGCATATTTCAGGCTGACCGGGCCAGAGATTTGAACCAGGGCCTCCACGTGGAATCTGGCTTCTCGTTAGCAGTGTGTTACTGCTGCACCACGGAGGTAGCCCCGCCGATATCTGGGTCATTGAGATGCAGGTGAGTGTCTGACTGATGTATTAGGATATTGTCACCTTTGCCACAGAAACTGCAACAGCACAGGCAGCAGCTTGCAGCCACGAAATCTGAAAGCCTTTTAAGGAGGTCTTTCCACAGAGCTCTGGTCCCCTAGCTAGGCTAGCCGCCTGGCACAGTCACACCCTGACCCAGGAGCCTCGTTTGCCAAAGCCTGGGTGTGGACAAAATAGCCTACCCCAGGGATGCAGCCCCAGAAACTGCTTTCCCAAATCCGGAACCCACGCTCCCTGAGAAGCTCCCCCAGCTACACCCGCACGGCAGGCCACACTCCCGGCTTTGCCCCTTGCTGAAGGAGCGCGGCAGTTCTAGTTCCCTGAGTGAGCCGTGTCCCAGGTCCTCTGTGCCCTGTCCCAGGCTGAGCTCCTGCCACACCTGGGCCTCCACCCGCCCTGTTTACGGTCACCATCACACAGCCAGCCTAGAGACCCAGAGGCGCACACCGGAGTGCCCCCTTGGGTCTCAGCTCACTCCATGTCCAACTCCTCGAAGCCTGGAGGCTTGGGCCGACGTGGAGGGAGGCCAAACGGCACC